AGATAGATAGATAGATAGATAGATAGATAGATATATAAATAAATAAATAAATAAATAAATAAATAAATAAATAAATAAACAAACAAATAAATAAATAAATAAATAAATAAATAAATAAATAAATAAATAAAAAAAGTGTTCGTTGACCCAGGGACGCACGGATGGAGTTCTAACTATGCGTTGTCAATTTATATAAATTAGACACGTATACTATAGCCCCAAGGTTAGTTAATAGACAACAGGTTACCACATAAACGAGTATGTGGGCAAAATCGCTTACGGGGGAGGAGAGGTGTCAGCCCCATGTGACGTCAAAATGAGGTTGGTATTACTTGGGAATTTTTAGTAACTTGTAATTTTGGGTTGGTGCGACCGATCATCTGATGCCTTTAATCTGTACGATCTGTACCGCTAATTCTGACGTTTGGTGTTAGTAAAAGTATAAAAAATTAAAAAAAATAGCTAAAACTGCTTGATGTATGTAAGGAATAAAAATTATTATAAAATTTTATGTATTTTTACTTACCAGTAGTGTTAATGTTTAGTTGTAATATTTTCACAAGTTTAATATTACAGTGAATTAAAGTGGTGCCTAACAAAAAAAAAAAATTAAATTTATTTGGGTCTAAGCTAAAATGAAATGTTTTGATATATTACTAGCAAGGAAAAAGTAAACCAGTAAATGCAGATTTTCAGATTTTTTTGCATGTCGCATTTGTTATTTTCAAGTTCTACTGGCAGCAAAACATTTTTCTTGAGGTTTATTAAATTGTTCTTTACAAAGGATTGAAATCTGCGAAGTAGAAGCGGTCACTTGATTAAAAGTTTCCGTTTTTAGTGCGTTACTCGAGTATTTAAAATGGGCAATTTTCGCGCCATTTGAGAGCCCCTTGTGACGTATCAATATGGCATCCCAATGTGGCAACCTTATCTATTAAATTACTTTGCTATAGCCCCTAAAAATACATAGTACCGTCATCCATTGTTGTACGAGTGGAGCAAATGCAGTTGGTAACGCAGAAAATTCCCCTGAATTGGAACCAAATTGTGTCAGCAGAGAGTTGACAGTTCTTGTCACGTGGCCTTGGTGTAGTATTTTTGTTTAAAGTCAATTAATTGTCAATTAATATAACTAATAATTATTAAATAAGATTTTATTGATTAAATTTTATATTTTATTCAAATTTAAACTCCATATTTTATATATAAACTACAAACTTTAAATCCAACATAAAACCATTTTAAATTTCGCGGTCTGTCAAATGGTGTTTATAATTTTTGTTTTTGTTAAGTTTCCGCCAGGTTTTCTCCACGGTGACGATACTATGTATTTTCTAGGGGCTATAACGTATACGAAGTCATTGATTTTCTCTTAAAATAAAAATAAAATGGTTTACTTATCAGTGTTTTTTTATAGAACTATATTCCTGTACTTACCAACAATATATTGTTTGTTAAAATGTGCGCAACTATAATACATACATACATATGCAGTTAATATGAGTGTTTTTTTATAATTTCAAAACATCGCATCATATTTAATCGACGTTTTCTCAGCGTTCGCATTTTTCGTTCGTTATGTAACTTTTATTAATATATTTAGTAACATTTAACATACACATTAGGACATTCAGGTTTACCACCACACATGTTGCACTCTCAACGGTCCTTTATGTCAAATTCTGTGTTCCTTTCACTCCCATGGATTTCTTATGGAGAATTCAAAAGCTGTCGTATCTCTATTATCTCTGTTCAAACGAACACATTTTATTAAATAGTTGTAACATGGACCGTAGCGCCCTCTCGATCACGCCCACGCTACTCTAGCGCTGCCCGTCAACGCCTCCGCACACTAATGGCCTCACCGCAATATACCTGGATTTAAGAAAAATTCGTCAAGCAACTTCTGCACTCAGAGAGAGTTCCGAGATTTAGCTGTGCATCACTTCTGTATCCAGAGGGTCGTTGTGATCTATATACTCTTTGAATTCTGGCAGTAGGCGTAGATTGTGTTTTCTTAGAGCATCCTGGGGGTCCTAAGAGACGGAATCAGCACCACTCTCTGAGGTGTTTCATGTACAAATGTATACATATCTATTGTTTGATAGTTTATTTCTCTCTCTCTCTCTCTCTCTCTCTCTCTCTCTCTCTCTCTCTCTTTCTATAGCACGGCGTTACATACCGATGTTCAGACTCAGTTCAGACCGGTCTCGCTGACCTCGACACCGACACCGAGCTCGTAGCTGGAACTCGACATCCCATTCCGGTGCGTATACGTGTTCTATGACACGACAAGAAAGAAGTTAAACTGCAAAAATCGTCTATGTTATAATACGCCTTTTTGACTACATATTCTTTGATTTTTCTTTTAAAATTTGGTATATTAAGCTCTTTAATAGACATAGGCAATTTATTAAATAATATTGCACAAAAATATTTTGCACTATTTTGATTTTTTTTTAATCCAACATTACTACTTATTGTTCCTAGCGTTATGATTATGTATTTCATTCTGTCGTTTATAGCCTGCTGTATGAGATTTAACATAATTCAGGCAACTGTGAATATAAATACTAGGTAAAGTAAGAATGTTTAGTTCGATAAAGTACTTTTTACAGTCTTCCCTGAATTTAGCTCTTACCAAAATTCGTATTGCTCTTCGTTGTAGCTTGAACAACCGATTATGAATGCACGAATGACCTCATACAAGAATTCCATATGTTAAATGAGACTAGCATAGTGCAAAATACACCATTCCCATTATACGATCTGAAACCTGTCCCTTCAAATTTTTTAACAAAAAAATGCTTTTGCAGACTTTCTTGGCGGTTTGTTAACCATGAACAAGCCCCTGAAGCTTATTGTCCACATGAATTCCCAATAATTTTATTGAATGAGCAAAATATGTGGGCATGTTCCGACTTATCTTTATTAATTTGAAGCTGATTGTGTTTGAACCACTCAAAAGCTTTCGACTGCACATCCTCCCTCATTGCTATAGCTTCTATAACTGATGTCGCCTTGTTTAACAAAGTTGTGTTGTCAGCATAAAGTACTGCACTTGTAGAGAGAGAGAGAGAGGAAGGGAGATCATTTATAAATATTAAGAATAAGAGCGGGCCTAGAATCGATCCCTGAGGTACCCCGTTATGAATTATTAAACTTCTGAACGTTTTTTCATTTAGTTTGTGAGATTGTGATGCTAAATCGAATTTCTGTATGAGCTTGAGTGCTTGGAAGTTAAATTTCTTTTTTTAATAGTTGACCAATTTTTCTTTAGTAATTTCAGGATGTAGTCTTGATATAAACAAGGATGCCATTTTGGGTGGTGACTTAATTTCATCCGGGGACTGTTCCATTAAGCTTCTAATGATAGGAGGTTTCCTCTTTCTACTCTTTTTGGTAAACGACCACTGTCCAGTTTTCATTGTCACTCTTCTGCAGAAAGTTTACAGGATGTTCATTTTTGGCATTGTTAAAATTTATTTTTTTTCATTTGGCCTATTTTCGTTGTTCATTGAACTCATTTGTTTTTTCTTTCGGGTATCAGTGGATTTGATAGTGGCCGGGGAATTCTCTGTTTTTTCGGAACCAAAGAAGCTCACCGGTTTGTCTTTTTCCCGTCCAGTTGTTTGAAGGTTTCATCCATTAGCTAACATCTCTAGGTATATGTTTATTTTGCAGCTTGATCGATTCTCGTAATTCTATATAGGAAAATTATTTTCCATCCAGTGCTGTTTTCGGGTAAATTCTCGACCGAATCCCAGAAAAAATATCCAACAAAATCGCAATAGGATGTAATATATATATATATTTTTTTTAATTTCTTAATTAAGTTTATTAGAGTTTGCCGATTCCCTTCTTGATCCCCATCAGCTTGACCCGGGTTAGGTTCGATTTGGTCAACAGGGTTAGCATTTGCATTTCCTTTCGGATCGCTACAAAAAAAGTTTTAGATACTTATGTCGATGGGTAATTTCTTACCTATATTCCAAGAAATATCGAAGACAGACAACAAATCGGACTTGCCCCATCAGTAAGTTGAACGGGCAAAATTATTATTGCAGTGTTTCTGTTTTCTGCTGAGTGGAAAAGAAAGAATTTCCAAAACGCCACTATAAGAACCGGGGCATTGCCATCCAATTATTGTAGCTAGGGTTTCACAAACTTGCTTGTTTCCGTTATATGTGGCTGATAGGATTTTAATAATTTTATATCGGAATTTATAATTGATTTTTCATAAAAGATGGAGGGGTTTTGCAGCTGGGAAAATATGCTTGTCAAGTTTATTTCACAGCTTTATCTTTTCTCAAAAGAGGAAACACCTTTTCGTTCATTTGTTTTGTTACATGTAAAACTAAATATTTCTTCTCAGTTCTAATCATTGTTACCAAACTTGAATAAAAGATATTCCCTTTCAATGCTAACTTGTTGACGATCACAATTTAAGGCCACTTTCGAATTCTTCGCGAGTTTTTTTACATTTTGTGCCCATGTCTCAAATTTTGGCGAAATGTTTTTACCAAGGAGGTTTAAATGTATAGAGAGAGAGTACAGTTTTCATTGTTTTGTATCGCGCATATATATACAAACCCTCCTTCTGTTGGTATCGTATTCGTACATATTCGTGAATTGATGGATAAGCCAGTTGCGAAACTAGTTCTTACTGCTGTCTATTAGTTTTAATAATACATATTTATCATTGTTCTAGATTTATTGCCTTCTCCCATTTTGGTGTTTGATATTAACTTTGTTGGCAAAGTAAAAGTGGAACTATCGTAAAAACACGAAACTTTGTTCATTCGAACTCACTGATTTCCAGAAAACTGCAACGTTTTGATTAGTTAGGTACATTATGGGCATCAAGACTAATTTAAACTTCATAAAAAAGTGGACGAATTGAATTATTCCTAGAACACGGCTGCAAATGGTATTTATCTTTCTAGCGTGGCTCTGTGTAACTGTATTTCTTTTGTTTCTCCTAGTAACGACAAGATACATGAAAATAGTCTAATTTTATTACTGTCAATTTTATTTTAAAATTAATGAAGAAACGTAATGGACAATAAAAATGTAGAATCACAAGATGTTTGTGTGTCACTGGTGCCAGTAGAATTAGGTCCCGTGAAATATAGAAACTGTCCAGTGTTGCACAGATCTGTGTCACAGTAAACGCATACCACCTTTGAACTGTTCGGCATCCGCTCATGTACTTAGCAAGAACCCAATGGAAAACATCCTTTTTCGACGTGTAGACGATCGGCTATAAAATCTGCAGATGATAATGTACGTAGTTCAAAGTATATTTTACACTTTCTTATACGTCGTTTTTAATAGGCAAACGAACGTTTGTAAGGATCGTCATCAGCAAATCGGCACCTTCCTGTTTTAATAGGATCCCTGCATTCTCTGCTACATCTGTAACGAAAATTACTGGAAGGCGTGATATTCTTGGACGGAACGATTTGATAATTTTTGATGACAATTTATTTGTGGAAATTAAAAAAATTAACAAGAAATAAAAGTTGACAGTTCTGCGAGTAATTTGGAGTAATTTTATTTTACCAGTAGTACATGACCAAGCCGTCTTAGACAAAAAAATCAATAAGAATAATAATAATTGTTTATTATTTCCTGGTTTATTCAGCTTGACACGCCATAAAACCAGGAAGCAACACGATTTTCAAAAAATCTTGTCGGTGTGTCACAGAACTTTGCTGTTCCACATCTACTAGTTGTTGTTTATTTGCGTTGTTATTAAGTTTTAAATGGCACTACATTGAGAAATCTGTTTAAAATTTCGTTTTCGTATGAGCCATAAGTTTATAGAAAACCACATATTACAAAAGTGAGGATGAACCTTTTCTCATTTTGGATATCCACAGAATGGTAGGTGTATCAGAAATTAGACATCCTGAATGTGAGGATTACGTTATTGTAGCAATATAAAACTTTACACAAATCTTCATGAGACAGTTTAGCAGAAAATACAAAAAATTGAGAATTCAACCTCTTTTTTGGTATATCAGCCGTTAGTAGTCCTGAAAGTAACAAATGCATTTACACAGTATTTTAAAACGTAATGCAAATATTGTCGAAGCAATTTAGAGTAAAAAAATTGAAAAATGAGAATTTTCCCTCTCTTGGTCTCTTGTTTGGAAATTCAGAAATTGATGTATCAGAAATCAGGCGTCCTGCATAATCGCGGCTTGAATTTTATGCAACGTTTCCGATAGAGTGCAGAACATAATATTAAAAAATTGGGGATAAACCCTCTCCTGGTTTGGAGATCCGGAAAGTGGTACCTACATCAGAAATCAGTCGTTTTGAAAGTAACGACTCATAATCGGTGCAGCATAAAACTTTATACAAATGTTTAAAATATTTTGTCTTGAAATGGTTCGAGAATACTTGTGCAAAGTTTTATGATGCTGTGAGTATGCAGCCACTGTTTTCTGAAAGACTAATTGGGAATTACCACTTACTGGATCTCCAAAACAAAGGAAAGCCAATTCTCAATTTTGGAATATTTTGTCCTGAATCGCCTTAGAAAAGTTTGTGCAAAGTTTCATGTTGCTACAATTATGCAGCCGTTACTTACAGGACGACGAATTTCTGAGATTCCATTCTCTTTAAGTCCAAAACGAAAGAGAGCGAATTCTCAATTTTTACTTCCAGAACGTAAGCGAAGGAAGTATTGTAATCCAATCCGTCGGTCGAAGCTCTACTTTTACGTTTTCTCGACCTTTCATGAACCCCACAGTACGAAGTAATAAGTCTCATTTGTCTAATCATCTCAACCAATAATGCGATGACGTCACTTCAAAATTGTACATAGTAAATGGGTTTTAGATTGTATGAAATAACATGTAGTTTATGATTCGGTATTGAGTTTTTATCCGAAATTTTTGAACAAGATTTTTGGAAAAAAAATCAAAATTATAGAATAACATTTTGCAAGCTAATTTTGAATCTGCGAAACCGAATACTTCGAAATCTTGTAGATATTTTAAAGTTATGATAAGCATGATAAATGTTTAATCAAAATGTATTTACTTATACCCTCCAAAAAATTGATGACGTCAGCTTAAAATTTTGCCGAAGAAATCCTATCTAAATTGTAGAAAATATCATGATTCTGTATTTGTAATTTATCATTCCATTCATATTTTTTGAATTTGCATATACAGAATGATTCAAAAAAATTAATGAATGCCTGAATTTATTTTATTGATTTAATCAAGAACTACAAAACCGAATGCTTTGAAATCTTGTAGACGTTCTAAAGTTATTATAAGCATGGTGTAGGTAAGCAGAGAAAAATGTTGTGCCTCGGTGGATTCGAACCCACGTCTCTTTGCTTTCCGGGCAAGTATGCTAACCGCTACACCACAAGACGACTTATTTATTCTCTGCTTACCGACGTGTTATTGTGCCGCCACACATGGTAACTTTTTAATCAAAATATGTCTGTTTATCAACCCCAAAAAAATGATTATGTCATCTCAAAATTTTGCCGAATAAATTCTTTCGAAAATGTGTAAAATATGATCAAACTATACTTGTAATTTTCATTGCATTCATGTTTTTTAGATTTGCTTATACAGGGTGAGTCAAAAAAATTAATGAATCAGACAATATTAGTATTACACTGCATTTGGGGAAACTGGTATACAGTCCTTGCAAAAATGTTGATGAAGTTATCATAAAATTTTGTATTGAAAAAACTCACTTGAAACAAACCCCTAGCATGTTTCTTTATGTTTACTTTAATATTGAATACATATCTTTATTTTAACTTACTAGGGTTATCATAGAAAAATTAAATTCACAAATCAAATGATTTTCGAGAAAGCAGACTTGTACTCAAGTGTGAGGGAAGTTCTGTCGAAATAACTTTCAACTAATTTTTTAATACATTGTGTCTTGAATTGTCTCGATAACACTTGTGCAAAGTTTCATGCTGCGAGTATGCAGACATTGTTTTCTGAGAGACTAATTTTAAAATTACATTTTTGCAAAGTTTCATGATACTACGATTATGCAGTCGTTGCTTTCAGCACAACTATTTTCTGATATTCCACTCTCTCTAACTCCAAAGTAAAAGAGAGCGAATTTTCAGTGTTTTAATATTTTGTGTTGAATTGCCTCAAAAACACTTGCGCAAAGTTTCATGGCGCTGCGGGTATGCAGTCACTGTTTTCTAATAAGAGACTAATTTGGAAATAGCACACTCTGGATCTCCAAAATAAGAGAAAGCGCATTCGTACTTTTTTAATATATTATTACGTTCAACGGGTGATTAAAATGGATAAAATTCAATAATTTGTTTCTTAATAACTCAAATTACACGACTGAATATTACACAGCGATTATGTAGAAAATTTTTTCGGCGCAACTTGACTGTGCTCTCGTGGACTCTATTGACTGAATTCAATAATCATCGTTCGGGACGGTGGCCTCTATTTAAACCTACACGTTCCTCTCGATGGTTGGAGAACGCTGTTTCGAGGGTTTTCTGGGTTGCCCATCGCAACTTCCGTTTCCAGGTTTTACATCAGCGAACGCCGCGTCGCCCGGTTGACGAGTCATCACCGCCGTACATACCAGAATAAACACATACATACTAGAAGACTCATAGGCGTCGTACCGGGGCGACATATGGATTTCTTTCGTAACAATACTGTTCTTTCAGTTACTTCAGCAGCGTAAAGTTTGATAAAGCTTCTAATATGCAGCCACTGTGTTCTAAAAAGTATGCAATTCCCCCCTTGTGGATTGATTGAATTACAAACTTAAAGATTATTATCAGTTGTTTTATATATTTTGCTTTGAATGGCCTCGGCAATGTGTGTGCGAAGTTTCAGTGAGAATGTAAGTTATTATAGTTGGATTCATGTATCTTTTTACATACGTGACCAAAAGCTAACGTCCGAACTAATAACTGTTACTTTGTAGTAATTAGTCAAAAAGATGACAATGTTCATAACGTCAACATGACACAAATGTGTAAGCTCAGGCAGGTCTTTTGGTTTCGGTGCTTTCCGATTGGGTCGTGATTTTGCCGGACTGGGAAGGACGCCGAGTCTTTCTTTTCGAGTTTTAATCTGCAACTCGCTAAAAATTTGAGCGAAATTATTAACCACGAACCTTCAAGTGGTTTTTACTTACTTACTCGTTCTGTACCATTTAATGAGATTAAAGGACCACCGTTTTCCTTCTCAAGAGCAAAATACTCTATAAAGTTGGACACGATGTCCTGGGCACGGGAACTCAAACGTTTGCCCGTCATGTTGTAGACCAAACACGAACAAGAAATAAGATAACAAAACATAAAAAATAGGACAACGAAACAAGAATCCTAACAACCAACGAACTTTACGAAGAACTGAATAGAAAACTTGAATAGAACAACGAAAAACTGCGATTAACCACTCTGAGTAAAACCAAAAATGACAGTGACGTTTGATGAAAAATCGATGAATTATTATCAGTCACTAGATTGACTACATCAGTGCCTGTCGCACTATGTGGACGCATTTATTACGTATTTTATCTTTTTCTAATTCAAGTAACTTTGTGGAAGAGAATAACTGACGTAGAGCGTAATTTGGCCTAATTTCGGTAGACATACTATTTGTCTGGCTCTTCGTTTTTGTAATCCTTAAAACAAAGATTCTTATGGTAGGTGCTGTCTGAGCTTGTATGATACTTCGGTCACGTGTGTCAAAAGATACATGAATCCAACTATATATTTTTTGAAATCTAGTAATACCGACATTAGATTTCAAAAAATTTTTTTATCCTTCCTAGAACCTTAAATTAATTATCGAGCGTAACCTGCTTGTTATACACAGGAATAGTTTTAACTCAAGCTCGGCCGAAATTATAGCTTTATCGTGTATTATATTGCCCATTTATTGCGCCCGTTTTATTTGTTTTTACGGTAACAGAAGCCTTTGTATTTGCTTCGTAACTATGGCAACAGGCAAACATCGACAACAAACAAAAGTATGACAAAAATTCGCGACAGAAGTTTTTCTTTGAATTCTTGGTGTTGTACAGGATTGTTGGAAGTTTTTTCTCCACGAGGTGAATTCATAAACACAACAAAAACCACCCAAACGAACTTTTTCAGGTTGGGAGATCTGCATTTCGACGAGTGTCGGATTTACGGATTCCATTACTGTGCGTGCGTCCGAGAACAGCCTATTTATTTATCGTCCCTCAACACCAAAGGTTAGTAGGGTTCTTTGTTTCACGATCCAGTAATTTATTCATCGGTTTTCGCACAGGTGTTTGTTCTTTTTTGGTTTTGAAGAAGTTTTTCATAGAAGTTTTCGTGAAGTTAACGTTGCTATTACATTGGAGATTATGTCAACGTATGCCAGATTAAGTTACGTTACGTTGTCTCAGAGGTACGGTTACGGCTGCAACTTTGTTCCACTGCTTTCGTCTTTTGCGGAATTGGTTTGCCTATCTCGCTTTCTGTTTTTGATGATTCTTCCATGGTGGGCGCAACATCTCGACTGTCGAACCAAGGA